GAGTTTACCAACACTCATTATCCAAACAGAGCTGAGGCCAACAGGATCAATGATCTCTACAATGACACCCTTGCCCGTCATTTCCGACAGGTGTTGAAGAAGAGAGAGAAACAGACCACCTTGGACATATTTTTCAAAAAGCCAGCTGTCAAAAGACAAAAGATGGAACAAGAGGAGTTGACCCTGCAAGCCCCAGTAGCCTCTCCTGAATCTGACTCCGATTAAAAAACAATAAAAAGAGACCTGCTGCAATGTGTAAAAAGTCTGTATCTGTATGAATGTGTGAATAAAGTGATCCTCCACCTCCTCCTCACATCATCTGACTACCCGGCATAATTGGTGACTGCTCCATTTTCAGTTTTTTTTATGGTACAGTACGGTTATTTTGTGCTGCAGAACGAATTATATGTTTTAATATGTATTTCTATGGGAAAATGCGTTTCATATAATGGACTTTTCACTTAACGGACGTTCACCTGGAACGGATTAAGTACGTTATACAAGGCACCACTGTATTTCCATGACCAATGAACTGATTTGGATGAAATTTAAAATAGTTAGTGTCTACGATAAGTATTGTGGAAATCTTAAATTTTGAATAAATTTGAAGTCTTAAATTTAAACAAACCAACAAATTTTGAATAAATTTGTTGGTTTATTTTAGACTTTCATAATTGGCATTTTGTCACCTAAACTTACAAAAGAACAAACTATCAAAAAATGTAGAGAGTCTGCATATGTTTAATAACTGATTTGAGAGCTGACTGCCTCTTATTTGCCCTTTTAAGGATTTTATTTTAAAATATTGAGTATTTATAAAATAATAACTCTTTATTTTTTATTTTTAAATTTTAATGTATTATTGGTCAACAGTTATCATGTGACATGACGTAGTGGAGACTAATGTATGACTGTTACATGAAAATAGAATTACAATGTGATCTCAGATAATTATCAGGTGACTTCACATCTTGCAATTACTTTTGATTTATTAATTAATACAAGCCTAATTATTTAAAAATAGAATATTTATAAAAGAATAATTCATTTTTTAAATTTTGGCATATTATTGGTCAATCAGTTATCACATGGCAGGACTACTGCAAGCTATCACTTGACTGTCATGTGAATATAGAATTATCATGATAACTATTTTATTAAGAAGTTAGTGATGATTGAAAAAAACTGATGGAATCAGGTTGAAAAGTAAAGCTCAGTGAAAATATCTAAATTGAAACTTTTGAAAGTTGTGGCATAAAAATACTGGAACTGGATTTGACAGTGAGATTCAACATGTGAATAAAATGCCCATTACACAGATTACAACTACAGAAAGTTTTGGATGGATGAAGCAATGTCACCATAATGATATATCAGGAAAATAGGCATCCTGACGACCTGCATTCCAGCCAAAACTCCGTCAATCCCACTATAAATTTTGGGGAGGAATGGGAAGATATGTAATGACCTTAAATGGGTCTGTGCTGGACCAAAAATAACATGCAATAAATAATTTTTCCCTCTTGCAGAGTGTGCAATTTCTTTTGTTTAAATTATTTTGAATTTACTGCTTTCTCATTTTAAGAAAATTTGATTTTATGACATGACACAAATTTTTTTCTTATATAAATAAAATTTACAAATTAATTTAAATTAAACCATGAAATTATATATCTGACGTAGGAATGACATAGCTAATTACATAATTGATTTTACATGAAGTTTTTCATTTTTTTAGTGAGTAGTGTTTTTAATTTAAAAAAATTTATATAATTGTATGCAAAATGGGCTTAAATAGACTTGGCCGAATATTAAATAAATGGAAAGGGAAAATGCAGAGATGTTAATAAGTTGGAATAATGTCATAATAGATCAGGGAATGCCGGAATCAAAGATGGAATTACCTGTACAGACCCTGGAAATAAATCTCATTAAGATTAATTCAAATAAAATTTGCTACTAGAGGTAGACATTAGGTGCCATCTCTAACTAACTAAATAATTATAATTTTAATAATATATAAAATAATTTAGAACCATCTGGAAGAAAACAAGTGATTTGGGGTGAGCTTGAACCCATAACCTCTGCTTGCCATGCAGTGGACTTTCCAGTTGTGCAACCTGGACCCTGAGCAAGCATTTGCTTCCAGATGTATTTAAATTTTAGTTAGAACTATCTGGAGAAAATAACTGACCCAGTGCGTGGCTTGAACCCACAACCTCTGCTTGCAAGAGGAGATTGCAGGTTCAAGCCCTGTCCTGGGTCAGTTCTTTTCTTCCAGATGGTTCTAAAATTTACTTAGTATTAATCATTAAATTAGTGGAATTATAGCCCAATTATTTAGGTGATCATTTGGTGATGTTTCTATATACAGTAGAGCATTGATTATCTGAAACAATTCGGGACTGGGGTTTTTTGGATAATCAATTTTTCAGATAACCGATTATATACAAAAAAATATATTAACTTATCCCATGTTGAAATTTGTTCAAATCCTAGCTCGTCCTTAAGTACCCTCTCATGGTCACGCCAGTGCTGCCAGCTAAAACATACACACCTAAAAAATAATATTGGAGTAGCCCAAGACATAGCCAAATATTACAGTGCCACAGCACTAGTGGAAATTTAAATTTGCCGACTAGAACACTTTTGGTTAACTGATGTTTCGGTTGATTGATATTTGGATAACTGATGCTCTACTGTACATATTGGACTTTGTGACGTTTGATAATTCTAGGAATTTATTATTACAGAAAGTAATAAATTCCTAGAACTTTACAAGTGTAATGTTATAATTTTTAATATGGTAATGTTACTTCATTTCAATAACTTGTGTGTTTTATTTATTTATTTATTATTTTATTTTTTCCTTCATAAAACTAATGAAGTCATAACTAGCTTACAAATTATTTAATAAAATAGTTCTAAATTACATATTACATTTATAAGAAGACTATGTCTGTTTTTGTGTATATATTTAAAAATTAAAAAGATAATCTTGTATTTTTGTATTTTAGCTCTTGATTCAAGTACCAAATGGTATAAAGACTTTGTTAGAAAATGGATTGATGGAAAGTTTAGCTAAGTTGATATCAATAATTGTTCATTCAACTTCTAAGTAAGTGTAAAATGTTTAAAAATATGTGAATATTTTCTTTGTATTCAATATTTTGATATTCCAAAAAGGATGAATAGATTATAAACAAACATAGATAATAATCACCTATTTACATCATTAATGTAGTCAAATAATATTGCATTCACGTGCATTTCACATTATTTTTATTATTAATCATTACATCATGTTTCTTTTATTCAATACTTTACTATAGTTGATACATATACAGGGTTCTTAGGAAAGCTCAAACACTCCTATAACTTCTAAACTACCCATTGTAGTGACATTGAAGTAATCAGTACCTATAAGAAAGTGACCATCTGCATATTGGACGTGGTTTTAGCACTCTTAGTGGTGAAATACAGAACTAAAGAAAACTAACTCGGAAACCAGGCAAAAAAATTCCAATTAATGAAAGAGTGGCCTACATACAGTCACTTTCTTGTAAGTGTTAATTACTTCTGTGATGCTATGACAGATAGTTTAAAAAGTTATAGTAGGCATATAAACCAACTAACTGACACCTAAATGTGAATTCCAGCTCATAATAAACAAAAATTTTAATATTCAAATGTTTTCAGCCATTGGAACATAGCGAGGTTTGAAAGGCATACAAACTTTCCTGAGAATTTTGTGTATATGTATACAGTCGACCCCAGTATAAGATCATTGATTATTCCATTTTATATGAATTCCATGTTGTACAAGTCACTTAAATTTTACAAATACGTGAGCCGTTCACAGCCCAGTACACGTATTTGTAAAATCTAAGTGACTCGTATAACATGGAATTCATATAAAACAGAATAATCAATGATCTTATACGGGGGTCAACTGTATTTATCAATAATATGATTTAGCATGATTTCATATAATTACTTACTGACTAAAGTTATATTAAGACAAACAATAAAATAAAGTCAAACATTTAAAAATCCATCAGCAATTTAATACATACAAATGTTTGATTATGCTCTTCAACAATCTTCATTAGTTGTTACCTATATAATTTATATTTAATTATAAAAAATATAAGTATATGAATATTATTTACTGTTTATATTTATATATCATTGCTATTAATAATAATCTAATAATAATGTCTCTCTTTAGTAAGCAAGACAGAAAACCAAATGAAGAATTAATTTATGAAGATATTTATAGAATAATTTATATTCTTGTAATTGAACTTATGAGGTAAATTTATCATTAATTAATTCAAAATTGATTTTCATAAATTATATATAATAATGATGATAAATATTTTTGCATTTATTATTTTAGTATTAAATAAACTTCCTTCTTATTTGTTGTATTGGAAATATAATTATAAAAGAAATATATACAGTGATGCCTTGTACTTCAAATTTAATTCATTCTAAGAGGTTATTTGAACTTCAAATTTTTCAGTTCAAAACAATTTATTCTATTAGAAATAATGGAAAGTGATTTAATTTGTTTTCCGGTTCTAAACAATACCCATTTTAATAAACTTAAATGGCAAATACACATAATTTAAAGTAAAAATATCAATTAAATGCCCTAAATAATAAATTAAAACATGAAAACAATAAATAAAATATATAAATACAATAGAATCTTGTTTTAATGGATTGCAAAACAACAGATTTTTTTCTCCAGGTTCCATCAAATCAATGTAATTTTACTTCATTTTAGTGGATCCATAACTTGGAATAACTGATTTGTTTCTAGCTCCAAGTTTGGTAAACATTGTATTTTTTCAACCTTTAATTGATAATTGGATGTTTATGGATAGTGAATTCAAAAAATACATTGCACACTGTGCAAACTAAGCATGTAATCATTAGTTCTCACTGCTAGCATTGTAGCTATTTATTAGTGCCCTTTTGTAGCATATTGATTTGTAGAGGAAAACTACTTCTGGCTTAACATTTCCAGATCTGCACGTGTGCAACAAGGATATGCCGCACCTTTGTTGCAGACATGTGTTTAGGAATATTGCTCCTTGAAATCGTGCCCGGGTAACAGTAACATTTCATACTGACAATGCCACTAAAAGAAACCCAGAAATATTGTGTCATCACAGCATCAGCAAAGCAAACCAAGATGAATGAGTTTTTTAACATATCGTGAAGTGCTAATGATCATACATACTTTGTTGCTTTTTGGCTTATAATGTATTCACTTTCTGTCAACTTTGTTACAGCATAATGTACAAACTTGTAATATACATGTTTATATAAAATAAAGGATAGAAATCTTCAGAGACTTAATAATTTCAACTATGGGTGTTTGTTTTACATAGCGGTTTAAAAACAAATTTTTTCAAATACAGTAGAGCATCGTTTATCTGAATCAATTGGGGACTGGGGTTGTTCGGATAACTTATTTTTCGGATAACCGATTATGTACGAAAAAATATATTAACCTATCTTGTGTTGAAATTTTTCTCCGTTGCATGTTGCTTCGCGTTGAATTTTTGTCGATGTTAAGCCTAACGTAAACTTTTTAAAATAATAATTGTGGCTATTGTATCGTTAAAAATGATTTATTTATGTTTTACAAACGAAATAAATACATTGAAAAATATAAAAACAAATAAAATTTATACTTTAGGCCGACTAGAATTCTTTCGGATAACCGACATTTCGGATAAACGATGCTCTACGGTAATGGATATTTTCCTGGGAGCATAAGAAATCCATTGTTCACGATATAACATTTTCGAAACAGTGAATGATTTTCGGCATCCCAAGCAATCTGTTAAAATGAGATTCTACTGTATTGTATAATAAAATGAAAATTGCAAGTACCAAACTTAGTGAGGAGTGATGAAATCCTATTTCTTCATGTCACTATGCAGCTTGCTTGGCTTTCTCACAAACAATTCTTTCAGAGATGATATCACCAGCAAATTGTTTCTCATTTATCCATACTAGGAATTTTTTCCATCACTTCAGTAACATCCATTTTTCTGACTGTCAGCAGTGTCACACTTCTAGCCACATTTGCTGCTTTATTGCTTCCTTGTTCTTAAGATTGAAGTACACCTTTAGGTTTGGTATCTTAAGCATGGCCACTAAATCTTTCACATCTGTTGCAAAGCAAGAAAGTGATACATGTTTTTTTTATTTCAATCATTGATACTACAACGTTTTCTTTAGTCTTCATTGCTTCCACACTGGTCTTGGATGTCATGCTTAATAGGCAGGGGTTTTATATATGCATGTACAAAAATAAAGTGAAAAAGCACTAAAAACACATGAGTGTAACACAAGATGCATTTATAATGAGAGCAAAAGACAACTTAGATGCACAACATATGGTATTTATGCAGCAAGTGCATATTTTATTGGACATGCAGTTCAAATCTAGAGACATGTTTTGAACTCTGGGTAAACTTTCTTTCAAATTTAGCATTCAAATTCCAGAAAGTCTTAAGTCGTTTGAAGTATGAAGTACCATTGTATTTAATATTTTTTTATCCTAAAAATTTACTTTATATATTTTAATTTTTTAATATACTTTTTAAAATAATAAATCATAACTAAAATAATTTTTGGCAACTTTTTTGCAATGGGAATAACATTTTATTTAGCATATGTATTTTATTAATTAATTTTAAACAGTATTGAATTTCAGTTTTATTTTCATATCTATGACTATTAATTACAATAATGCAGCTTTGAATATATCAGATCAACAGTTTAATTAGTTTTGTTAAATAAAAAATAGCATTTATAGTATTTTTTTTTTACTATAATAGCCTTTTTGAATCTTTCCATCTCTTGAACACTAATAGGCCTTTATAATCATAACCATGAAGGATTCAACCAGGCCCTGTAAATAAATTATTGATATAGAAAACAGTCTTTATATTATCATTTGTCTCAATTATTTTTTTCATAAAAAATATCTGATATATAGTTATCATAGATATTTTTTAAATAGGCCTGTAGACTAGACTGCAAGTTTTTCAAAAATGAATAAGAATAGCTGTGCTTGTAATAGAGAAAAATATACATACATGGCTCTATATTTATAATTCTAGAAAATACATAGAATAACATTACAGTCCAATCATTCTGAATATCAAACGTTAATAATTTCACTGATAATCACAAAGATTCAACTACACAATTTAATTCAAGAATTTGATGCTACAAGTAGAAATGTCCCATATCTTAATTGCATTACTTAGTAAATTTTGAATAATTTAATTAAAAATTTCTATAGAAAGAAAAGTTGTATTCAAACTTCAGAGATTTTATTGTACTTAGAAATATATTGGCAATTGTGTACTTGAAATTAAAGTTGTTTATGGTATAAAATTAATATCTGAAAGTCTAAGAATAGTCAAAAGTTTATGCAAGAACAGTTTTTTTATTTGAAACATAAAAACTTATTCATTAAAACTGGAACTTTTTTAAAAAAATTGATATTAATCTGACCTTTTTGCATGTTTCAAGCATTTCCAATATAAATGAGAAGCAAATATCAATTAGTTCTATTTGAATTGTCAGAACATTGAACATTGATGATCTGAAGATGGTATTAAAAATCCCAATAAAGAGCTTAATCTAAATAAATATCCTGATTCCTTTTAATCCTTTCAAGCTTTTTTCTAACATTTAAGAATATATAAGTAAGGTATTTAGTAATGCACTCATATAATAAGCAAGAATTGAGCTCAAAGCAATTTCTGGTCCTATTTTTCAGAATTATCTAAAAATTACATTGCTTAACAATATATTTAAAATAATTTAATGTAACTAGTACATAAATGATATGTCTATATGTAACTGCAATTTTTCAAATCGTTAAATAATTTACTGTAATTTGACAAAATAGTTAATATAAAATGTCCAGAAAATACTATTTGATATCATTTAGTTTCATCATACAGTAGGCAAGTTATAAAGTGTTTTGAGAGAGGAACACACTTTTTCTTATGTGAAATGTTTGTATATGTTGAACAAATTGAACTGTTGATACAGAAGATAATTTCACTTTGGAATATGTACAGTATGTCTAAGAAGTCTAGATACCTGATTATAAATAATTTAATAATGAATTCAATAGACTAATTTTTTAAGGGATGGGGTCTATAAGTGCTCTGATGTATTGGAGACACAAGTTTTTGTGCCTCCAAGTCCTTTATGACATATTTTTCGAACATTGCAGGTGTGACTGAACCAAAGACCTCCTGTACTCTTTCATATTTCCTACCATAAACACCTTTCTTTTCGACAAAAACAGTGTTCTTTTCATCAATGAAATCTTATTAAACTGTTCCAGAAAGGCATTTTTCACATTGCTAATTGTTTGACCTATGTAAGGACATTTATGAGCCACACATTCATTACCAATCTTTTCTCAACAGAAAAAGAATTCATGTCCGACATTTTAACTCTGATGCTGAAATAAATGGTACATGCACATGCAAACAATGTCACACTCATGACTCTCCCTTCAAAAATTAAAGATTTGTGGGGATACAACCAAATAAATATATAAAGGTTTACGATAAAAGAATACAGACCTCCTGCATATGCTGTACTATATTCTGAAAATCAGTGACTAATTAGAGATATTAGAAGTCAAAAGTATTTAATACCTGTTAAAATAATACTGAAGAATGAGTTTTCTTTCTGTTAAAATATATGTATATCTAATAACATACTGTCTTTTTATTTATAATTATTTTCTCTTTATTTAGCATCAGTGGCACACACACTTTTCAGAAGTTTCAGGATATATTATGGCTTTTTTCTAGTTTAGAATCATTCTCTTATAATTCATGTAAGTATTATTTATTTATTTGTTTGTTGAGAGAGTGAAAGATTTGAAATATTCAGATTGATTTGTATATCATTAATTTAAATTCAAAAAGTAAACTTTATTTTGAACTTGTATCTCATATGTTTTACAAAATATAAGATCCACAAATCTCAGTCAGTTCCGGCCTACCATTTTCTTTACAAAATAGTTTATGCATATAGAATTGATGATGTATTTGGTCAGTTGTGTGTCTGTTAGTTATAATATTTTTATACAGATTATGCTTGATTTGGTTGACTTCCAGACATTAAGGTTTCCGACAGCTCACTTTTTCACACATGATACTTTGATACCCCAAAATCAGTTTATGTATGCCAAACTTGGACTTCATATTTTTATATTTATGTGAAAATATACAGGTTTATTCAAAAGTCACAGAAATTTAAAAAAATTAAACATTGCACTGTAGCATTTGTAAATTTGTTAAAATAAGAAAAAATAAATAAAAATGTTCTTAGCGTAAGCTCTAGTAAACAACTACACATATTTTTATCTTATCAAGCACCATCTATGGCAAGAAATGTAACTATTTTGATACTAAAATTTTTATTACACATAAAAAAATCCCACTTCTTTCTAAGCATTTCTGTGAAAACTGCATCATCATACTGTAAATAGTTTGTGAGTTATTAATTTTTTTTTAATTTTTGTGACTTGAATCCCCCTGTATATTCTCTGATTAATAAGAAGTTATTTTTAGAATAATACAAATTTTAAAACATTGAAATAATTGAATTGATAGTTTTAATTATTATCTTTCCCAGAAGAATGAAGCATATGATTGTTATTCTACATATGCAAAGAAAAATAGTTCTACAAAGTAGAACATAATGTATATAGAACATATATAAGAAAATATTAAGGTACATTTAAACTGTTGTAATCTATTTTAAATTTCAAACAATTTTGCAAAATGTGTGAGATTATTTAATTTAATAATAGCTAGCAAATATTATCTATCCTTACTGTAGAAATCCTTTAATATTAATTTATGTATAATATAAAAATAGCAAGGAAAAAATTTGATAGTTTTAATTAGTGTAACATTTAATTACATTGCCTTGCATTGCAAGTCCAGTTTCTCTAAAGAAAAAGCTGTGTTAAAGAATTTTAAAAACAATAGTGATTTTTGCTGTGCTATCATAAACAATAAAATATATATAAAAAATGTATGTACATATTGTTAGGCACACAAAACATGAATGAGTATGATAGAAATAATAATAGAAAAACACAATTGTGGGTAATAATAAATTTTAAAAAAAAGGAAATGTCAGTCAAATGACCATGTGATAAGGTGACACAGGGGGATCCAAGTTAAAATTTAATTTAGACATTCATAATTTATCATAAATAATATGAGTCAAAGTATTGTTTTTTTTATTTTTATTCATCATAGCTGATTTTATTGTAAGTTCAACACATAGCACACACAATGAATATTTGTGGCCAGCCATATAATCTTGTGTTGTTGTTTTGTAATAATGCCAAGTGATCGCCAGATTACATCAGACTATATTACTTGACATTTAATTAGTAGTTAGTAGCATTAATATAGCCTAGTGTAATCTGGCNAATATATATAAATATTTTTTAAGATTTATGCTTATTTTTTAACCATCTCCGGGATTTAAATGAATTCGTGAAAGAGTAATTCCTAGGTATATAAATGTTGTTATAATACTAAACTTTGTATAAAAGTTGTCTGTCTTTCTTAGTCATGTAGCACCACACTTCTTAAAGTCTTTAGGGATGTTACTTTACCAAAACTTATTGTCAAAATTACATAAATTCTGAATTTATATCTGAGTTTTTTTTACTAGTCTGACAGATATTCCGCGGGGATGGTTGACATATGAAGTATTTTGTTTGCACGGAAAGAGTCCAGGTGAAAGTTTTTCTTGTTTTTTCTCTCCCTTATTTCTTTTTGCACAAAAGGCGACGACTGGCGATAAACTTACTTTCATTTAGTTCTCCTTTGCCATAAAATTCCGAATGGGCAATTTTCGTGATTTTCTCTGTCCTTATCGAGAAAAATTTAAGCAGAAAAGGGACGAGGTTGTTTCCATAGCAACGTGCAAGGACTACACACAAAAAAAGCATATAAATATAATATACTGTATATATATATTTTTTGTTTTATATTAAATTATGAATTCTAAAAAATATTACATTAAACTTACTTTTGGTGAAAGCACATATGAAACAAACCAAACAATCATTTAATCAACTACATAAAACCTTGTACAACAGTAAAAAGGCTTATTAAATTGGAAAAAACTGACATTTTTGGACAAATTTAAAGACCTTTCTCAGGTTTGATGTTCATATTGAAAATTTACAAATAAAAATTTATCTTGAATTTTTCAAACATCAAAGATGAGGAAAGTCATTAAATATATCCAAAGATATATGTTTTTTCCAGTTTAATAAACTTTTTTGCTGCTGTACAAGGTTGTATATACAGTAATACCCCGACTTACGCAAACCCGGAGTTACGCAATTTTCAAATCTCGTCGATTCATCTTNCAAAGATTCAACTACACAATTTAATTCAAGAATTTGATGCTACAAGTAGAAATGTCCCATATCTTAATTGCATTACTTAGTAAATTTTGAATAATTTAATTAAAAATTTCTATAGAAAGAAAAGTTGTATTCAAACTTCAGAGATTTTATTGTACTTAGAAATATATTGGCAATTGTGTACTTGAAATTAAAGTTGTTTATGGTATAAAATTAATATCTGAAAGTCTAAGAATAGTCAAAAGTTTATGCAAGAACAGTTTTTTTATTTGAAACATAAAAACTTATTCATTAAAACTGGAACTTTTTTAAAAAAATTGATATTAATCTGACCTTTTTGCATGTTTCAAGCATTTCCAATATAAATGAGAAGCAAATATCAATTAGTTCTATTTGAATTGTCAGAACATTGAACATTGATGATCTGAAGATGGTATTAAAAATCCCAATAAAGAGCTTAATCTAAATAAATATCCTGATTCCTTTTAATCCTTTCAAGCTTTTTTCTAACATTTAAGAATATATAAGTAAGGTATTTAGTAATGCACTCATATAATAAGCAAGAATTGAGCTCAAAGCAATTTCTGGTCCTATTTTTCAGAATTATCTAAAAATTACATTGCTTAACAATATATTTAAAATAATTTAATGTAACTAGTACATAAATGATATGTCTATATGTAACTGCAATTTTTCAAATCGTTAAATAATTTACTGTAATTTGACAAAATAGTTAATATAAAATGTCCAGAAAATACTATTTGATATCATTTAGTTTCATCATACAGTAGGCAAGTTATAAAGTGTTTTGAGAGAGGAACACACTTTTTCTTATGTGAAATGTTTGTATATGTTGAACAAATTGAACTGTTGATACAGAAGATAATTTCACTTTGGAATATGTACAGTATGTCTAAGAAGTCTAGATACCTGATTATAAATAATTTAATAATGAATTCAATAGACTAATTTTTTAAGGGATGGGGTCTATAAGTGCTCTGATGTATTGGAGACACAAGTTTTTGTGCCTCCAAGTCCTTTATGACATATTTTTCGAACATTGCAGGTGTGACTGAACCAAAGACCTCCTGTACTCTTTCATATTTCCTACCATAAACACCTTTCTTTTCGACAAAAACAGTGTTCTTTTCATCAATGAAATCTTATTAAACTGTTCCAGAAAGGCATTTTTCACATTGCTAATTGTTTGACCTATGTAAGGACATTTATGAGCCACACATTCATTACCAATCTTTTCTCAACAGAAAAAGAATTCATGTCCGACATTTTAACTCTGATGCTGAAATAAATGGTACATGCACATGCAAACAATGTCACACTCATGACTCTCCCTTCAAAAATTAAAGATTTGTGGGGATACAACCAAATAAATATATAAAGGTTTACGATAAAAGAATACAGACCTCCTGCATATGCTGTACTATATTCTGAAAATCAGTGACTAATTAGAGATATTAGAAGTCAAAAGTATTTAATACCTGTTAAAATAATACTGAAGAATGAGTTTTCTTTCTGTTAAAATATATGTATATCTAATAACATACTGTCTTTTTATTTATAATTATTTTCTCTTTATTTAGCATCAGTGGCACACACACTTTTCAGAAGTTTCAGGATATATTATGGCTTTTTTCTAGTTTAGAATCATTCTCTTATAATTCATGTAAGTATTATTTATTTATTTGTTTGTTGAGAGAGTGAAAGATTTGAAATATTCAGATTGATTTGTATATCATTAATTTAAATTCAAAAAGTAAACTTTATTTTGAACTTGTATCTCATATGTTTTACAAAATATAAGATCCACAAATCTCAGTCAGTTCTGGCCTACCATTTTCTTTACAAAATAGTTTATGCATATAGAATTGATGATGTATTTGGTCAGTTGTGTGTCTGTTAGTTATAATATTTTTATACAGATTATGCTTGATTTGGTTGACTTCCAGACATTAAGGTTTCCGACAGCTCACTCTTTCACACATGATACTTTGATACCCCAAAATCAGTTTATGTATGCCAAACTTGGACTTCATATTTTTATATTTATGTGAAAATATACAGGTTTATTCAAAAGTCACAGAAATTTAAAAAAATTAAACATTGCACTGTAGCATTTGTAAATTTGTTAAAATAAGAAAAAATAAATAAAAATGTTCTTAGCGTAAGCTCTAGTAAACAACTACACATATTTTTATCTTATCAAGCACCATCTATGGCAAGAAATGTAACTATTTTGATACTAAAATTTTTATTACACATAAAAAAATCCCACTTCTTTCTAAGCATTTCTGTGAAAACTGCATCATCATACTGTAAATAGTTTGTGAGTTATTAATTTTTTTTTAATTTTTGTGACTTGAATCCCCCTGTATATTCTCTGATTAATAAGAAGTTATTTTTAGAATAATACAAATTTTAAAACATTGAAAGAATTGAATTGATAGTTTTAATTATTATCTTTCCCGGA